GTATGACGAGAAATTGAGCAAAATTAAGAAAACTCCATCTATTATAGGAAGATAGCTTACTGTCTGACGGTCAAACTGGTACCGTAGTCATTTTAAAACGTATCAATTTGCAATTGCTCATTGAACAAAATACGAAGCATTCGCAGATCGAAAATGCATTTACGCAAAACGAGACATGTTCTGAAGCAAGCACGATAACGGCAAAGTGACAGATGATAGCTGTATCGTTTCAAATGGCACCACCTCAGTTTCGTTGAGTTACGAGCTTGAAAAGGATGCGTAGAATCGTTTCATGCTACTCACATTACACTGAACCATACAAAATCGGCACTCAATTACCAAGCCATAGGCACACCATGTTCTTGAAGTAATATATAATCACATATGCACAAAAATGACACGAATTTATACAAATGAACACGGTAAAAACATCGGTTATATACAGTTAACAATTAACAACGATACTGAGAGAATAAAATAAAAAAGCTAATTAAAGGTCATATCATCGTTCAGAACCCTGGAAATGATCACTTTTCGGCGAGCAGTACTTCTGCTGAGTATGGAAGTTTACCTTGTACACTCAGCAAAAATTACGGCAACGGTAAACTCTCCTCCGAACGATTCGCATCCAACACATNGACGAACCTTCCGATGGTTGAATGTATTCGGAGACAAACTATCGACAATCCATTCTTGTTCGGTTTCTTTTCAAATAATTACCTATGGATTTCATTTGGTTTACGGAAAACAGAGATCACGTAACAATCATGATGAATATTTGCGAATAAATTTGAAATGAATTGAGGGTGTAGCAAATACGACCAGTGAGGCACATCTGAACGTTTACGTTTCAGTTTTGTTTGGCAATCTTCACTCCTAACAGCGCAGCGGCATTGTCTACACAATACGTCCATTCGCCACCCTTCTTCCTCACACCGATTTGCTGCAAATGCTTCGCAACGGTGCACGGACTTAACTCGAGCAATTTTGCAAAGTCCTGAACAGTTGCACGTGGACAGTTCTGAACCAACATCTTCAGTTGATCATTCACGTCAGGGATACACGTTCGACGCTTTCGATCTTCGCGTGCCGGTCGACCATGTCGGAATCGTTGGAACCAACGTTGCACGGTCGCTTCATTCACGCTTCCCTCACCCCAAACCTATTAACAAACCACTTATTTCATTGAAACACTGACATGTCGAGAAAAGTATGAAAACAAATAAATTCATACAATAATAACAAAGTTGAATGCAAACATAAAACCACGATGATACAGTAACACCGAGATGCGTATAACCAAATGGTATTAACGCAAAGAAGTGCCTATCATTCTGAATATCTTGATCTGTTTGAATTGAGAAAGAGACCGTTTGTTGAGTAGGGTTATTTGACTGTATAATAATTTCTGCAATTCTGTTCGAAGAGAAGCGTTAAGTGACATTACATCTACANAATTTCTCCCTCACTTCTACTTCAGGGTGTAAAACTGAAAAGTTTGAGGCATTCGAATTGTTGTACTTAAATATAATCGCATAAAACGTGTCTAAATCAGAATCAATTCTGATTATTCCAAGGAGCTGATGATTCGATTTCATTAGGCGGGTATTATAACTGGTCTTTTTTAAATTGCATTTGAGAAAAGCAATTCTAGCGTAGAATGTTTTGACTGTAGAATCTATACGATAACAATCACGTTTCACATGAAGGTATCGTATCTCGTGATGACGAACGACCTAATTATCAGATCGAAACCATCCAGATAATGTTCAAACAAGGAGTCGTCACCTTCTTAAATCAACTACTACGATCCTCTTAGTTCTCAATCAACTGATCAAAATATTTTTCGAACTAATTGTTTAAAATGTTTCCATTTCTCATATTTCCTTCTGCAACTAACATACTGATCTAGCCATTACAAACTTCTCGTGTGCTCTTCACAGCGACTCACAATCAATGTCCTTCATGAGAAATATACAAACAAATTAATAAATTTGAATGAAAACCTGGTTAATATTACGAGCTGTTTGTGCAGCAGTTCGATCGAGCTTGAACTCATAGAAATAAATTTGACGGAAATCCTTTTTTGACATCTTTCTCCACTTCGCAATTATTAGATCGTCTGGATCTGGGCCTTCATCGAGCAATAAACAGATGAACAGCAACTGAAAGTTTACAACTCCACACTTCTGCTCATCGCATGATTTCATATGGCAAAGAATACTTTCATTAATATGAACAATCTTACAGATATTAAACAAGGATAAGTTCACGCTCAATTCCAACACAAAAAGCGAAATTAATTTACAGTGCCCAGTAAAAGAAGACATCAAACTGGTATAACGAATTGTTACAAAAGTTACAAAACTTGTTCAAATCGCTGCAAAATCTTAATTAGTGATCGTTTGTGTTGCGCCGCAGACCATAAAACGCTACACATCAACTGATATTCAAATGAAACGTATACGGGCTAATCCAAATATTGTAGGAAAAAAATTGCACAATCTTCATGCAACAACAACTTAATCGGCATTTCTTGATTGAATGCGATTTGTGAAGCGAACGCTACTGTGGATCCCTTGCCAAACGCAGTGTTCAGTTTTCGCGTGGCGAAACGGCGACCCCTTGCATTGCTTATTCTCGTCGTTCCGTTTCGAGATCTGATTTGAAACGAGTGGGTTGCGCTGGGGGACGACACTGGAGGCGATGATATCATTTAACGTCATCTGTTGCAGTGAATCGAAATTTGCAGAGGCGTTGTGCGTCAGCCAAACATTCTGATGTGACATGCACTGATTGTACACAGCCACTCTGCTGAAGCCTTATGTGTGCGAGAGACTGGAAACTGCATTTGCTTAACACTTAATTCGTTATTCAGTAAGCATAGACAGTGGCCTGCGAAGGAAAATAGAGCGGTGTTGAAAGAGCTTGATTGATGGACGATTGATTGAATTTTCGTTTGCTTACCCTTATCGTGATGTGTTCGTTACAAGTATTAGTTTAGTCTCGAAATGTTTTATTCTCTTCTGCAATTTCACCCGAGCCAGATGAAGGGAATCGTTGCAATGTTACGCTCATACGCTTATTGATATTTTTGAAATAATCAGCTGCAAAGTGTTTTTCGTCATTCGATGTTGAACACTACAAAACATTCTGAACATGCAATCGGTGTGTTGAACGAGTAGCCGCCTTGCGTAGAGCTTGCCATCCTCGGAATTCATTGAATTTTCAAACGAAAATAGCACTGAACACTGATATCATTATTGGAATTCTTGAACTTTTAGACGTTAGCAATTAAATGAATTTGCTGACAGGCCTGAAATTTCAGAGCCTTAAGAAAATGTTCATTACAATTAGGATCGTGGATCATTTTCCGGAATACTCGTCGATGATAGTCAATTTTTTCGTCGATCAGAACGGAGCGAATTAAAAAATTATGCTTACAGTTAACCATATTATCAACAGTTTTCTAGCATCGTTTAAAGTTCACGTCTAAATTATGCTCAAATATCTAGGGACAATTATTTTGTAAATTATCTTTATTGTTAGACTGAAAGTGTTTTAATGATCATTCCTCACTTCAAAAAATGATATCTAATTAAACGTTGATAATATTCTGTTTATTGATACACGCATACGTTCTTAGCTAATGAAATCTTCTTCAATTCTTTGTCTTACACTTTTGTCTTATGTTATTTTGCAGATGTCGTACTTCTTGTACATTTGCGTTTTCATTTGACTGATAAAATTTCATTGTGATTCATTCGTGATATGCTTTTGATTTTTCTTTTTTCGAACTTTATGTTCATTATTCGATTCAAAGTATTTTCTAGTATACACAAAAACATTATGCTAATTATTATATACATTATCATTATTACAAAGTAGTGCAAATTATTATTGTATACTAAAAATATTATGTTCATGATCCTATGTTTTGCTCATCTGCCTTGTAGTATAAGGGCTTATTGCTTATAGGAAATAAATGAATATGTTTATAGCGACGACTTCGTTTTGTGTCTAAAGTGAACATTGTATTAGTTTTCGGTACGATTAGTTTTCTTCTCGTTCGTAAAAAATTGGGATTTTGAGATTTTTGGAAAAAGAATTTTGGGGAAAAAAAATACCTGAAAGAATTGTGTGAAAAGAACCTTTCAGCACCGCGTTCTATCTTGCTGAACCATCTCATGTGAATATATTTTATCACAATTTAATCTTTTAAAGTGTGATATTTATGATGGATTATGGGGCGATACTTGTGAAACATGAGAGCCGTATTTTACCTTTTGCAAATCTCAGTAAGTAATTCAACAAATAATGCAACATTCTCGCTGCAAATTTATCGAATAATATCAAATATCTTCTATCGATGTTTCATGTAGACGTATATTTACTTTAACTGACGTCAGATTGCCATAGAAATGGTGGATCGTTTGGCTAATGTATGTATTTATAATTTTTAGAATTCATTGAACTCTTTCCATCAGTCGAAAAGTTTCTTTCAACTAACCATCAAGTTAATCGTCAAATTTTCATTTCCGAACAATATGTTTCCCTTCTTGTTTTCGCTGCCAAGACCAAAATCTGTAGTCGATTTCTTGGTTATAATTTGTTTACTTTTTCGATCCTTACATCTGTGTTCAATCAATATTTGTGAATTAAATCTGATGGAATTTTGTGTCAACTTGACATCGTTTTAACTATGCAATGAAAAATAATTTTGCGAGTGGCGTACCTCTGAACTGAAGCTATTCAATCTCGTAATTTCCATGCCGGAAATATAATTATTTATAATGTTGCTAATGGATCTAAAAGTGAAATGATGCCTTTATTTGTGTAAGCAGNATGATGCCTTTATTTGTGTAAGCAGTTCATCACAAGATCACTAATGGAACTGCTTTTAATTCAAATTCAATGTTGATTCATTCGTCAAATATTTTCACATTTACAAAGGAATTACGACTGTATTTCAGACTAGTATTATCATACATTTGGCTGCTAATTGTGAATTTATGATAAGATCAGTGCTATTATTATAAATTTCTTGCTCATGACCCTGCTAAAAACAACAATTAATTATGTCTTTCCTTGTATCGCTATTCATCATTTCTCACTAACAATAAGCATTCCTGATTTCATAGGACATTTCGTCTATTTTTTAAATATCCGATTAGATTCTCTTTACCTTTTCATAAACTCTTCAAAACATCGGTGGAATAAAGAAAGTCCAATCGAATACAATTAGTTTAGAGAAAGTTTTTAATGTATTCCTTGAATGTGTATTCTCATTTTCTTCATAAATCTTATTGATATCGTAATTATCAGTGTGCCGTTTTAAGGAGTCTTATCTTAACCATTACTAACACTGTCATTATGCGTTTGTAAGCAAATAATGAGAAGAATTGTGTTTGTGT